AACTGTGCGTTTTCAGGCCAACTGTGCGTTTACAGCACGAATTGTGCATTTTCAGCCTAAAACATCCCAACTCTGCGTCTCAGAGTTCATCACGCTGCGCGGCCAGTGCGTTCAGCCACCAGAATAGGCTCAACTCTGCGTTTTTAATCTAAAAACACAGAGTTCGGGCCCTGAACGCTAGTTTTCAGCGTTTGACTCGTTCAAAGCACGCAATGAACAGTTCCAGGAACTGTTTTTCCCCACGATTTGAGGGATTTTCGCCCCACTTAAGAGCGGATTAAGGGGGTAGTTACCACCCTTAATCCCCTATAAATACCAGAAACTCAATTGAGTTAAAGGATCGAATTTCTTTCTCATCAAAAAAGGGAGATTCGGTCAAAAGGCTGGTATATTTTGGAACTGGGATTTGGCAGCACCAGAGGAGATCCTTAGAGCGTTTTCTGGAGCTCGGGAGATCTGCAACAAGAGCTTATTCATCCTTGGCTTATAACCGACTTTCGGTTCAAATCAACTCTTTTTCAAGAGTTCAAACTCGGCCAGGGTTATCAACTCGATCAGAGTTCAAAACTTGCTCTGCAAGTTCTTCTAAAACTCGATCAGAGTTCAAAACTTGCTCTGCAAGTTCTTCTAAAACTCGTTCAGAGTTATCAACTCATTAAGAGTTATTTTCAAACTTGCTATGTAAGTTCTCCACATCGTCAAATCGTGAGGAGAAAATCACGTTCCAGTGAATCAAGACGTTCGGATCGTCAACGAGAAGCAAACTCGACGCGAGCATTCGAGGGAGGCATCTCATCGCCACCGTGAAGAACCCAGAATTAAACAAAGGGGAGAATCAAATTCATTCTCCTCTCTTTTGTAATCGGAATCCAAATTGTAATTGATTTTGAGAGAATACAAGTCAATTTTTCTTTCATTGTCTTTTTACTTCAAATTTCCAACAAACATTCATGAATGCTGATCCCTACAGTAGATTTTGTCCACATTCTTTTTCACAAAATAGGATTTTTCTTGATCAGAATCATGTTGCCTATACATTGCGTAAAAATAGATTATGAAGGAAAAAAAATTTGTTGCTCAAAGACCCCGAAAGAAGTTTAACCAATTTTACATTGTTTTGCCGGCAAAAGTGGCTGATGAAATTATGAACTTTACACCCACTAATTGCATATTTGTATACTAATAAATGACTTATACAATAATAACGTGGTCTATGACTTATGAGCTGTAGTTTCATAGTCTTATGCATATTTGCAAAATATTTCATTTATTGACAGTTTCAAAATCATCAGGGAGCATTATCGATGCCTGGTTCGACTCAAATATGGTCATGGAGTCCGATTGTGATGATGATTTCCACAATGTTCAAGATGGTATGTGAGTTGAACTAATTCAATGTGCAATTTTTAGAAACCTGATCGGACTGCTAACCTTCTGCATGTTATTTGATAATTATTTAAAACACATACAATATGTGCCTAAAAAAGTATGATTCATTCCTCAGGTTAATGGCAGAGAAGGTATCCCAAAAGTGATAAAAGCCATGCCTGGTAACAATTTAACTCTACAAGTCAGGTAACAAATTTACTATTTGCGTTACATCTACTACCTCATATCTAAAGCAGAATACTTTATTTTAGTAACATGTTCAGTATTTGAAAAAAAAATTAGGAACTGTGCTTTGCACGGGTTTAAATACTAGTTTCGAGCATATAGCGAAATATATCATAATCTCCCTGCTCTAACTTCGTAAAATAATAATTCTTCATACTTTCAGTTTTATTTCTATGATACGGAGAATGAACTATAAAATTGAATGAGAATATTAAAAAATATAAATATGAGTGAAACCATAACTAAAAGTTAATGTGAATACGAGTCAAATTATACGTAAAAGTTTAATGGACATATTGAAAGTAAATTCATATGTAAAATTCCTTCGCGAATTGAATGATCACCCAGTTTTTGAAGACTTCAATATATTAATAAACATAGATGTTGTGCTAGATCAATATGTTTATAACTCACAAATAGTAGATCATGTGGCCATAATTTGGGTTGAAGGAAACAATGACAATATTTTATTTGAGAGAAAAATTATCGAGTTGATGATCAATCCCACAAAAAACTTTATTTTTTTAATTTTATTCTATTTTATCAATTTAAATAATTATGATATTCAACCACGTGCATTACATGTGCATCTCAACTAGTAACTAAATAGAATAAGTACATCTCTAAATTACATCCACTACCATTAGAAAAATCAATCCAATTAAGCCCCATTCTCTACTGTTATCCAATATTGATTGAATCTAATATACCTTCAATATTAACTAATATTTTTTAGGGAAAAATGCTTCCAGCCCCCAAAAGCTAAGGAAACATGCTTCCCACCCCCAAGACTTTGTCAACGGGTGTTTTACCCCTAAAAATAAAGATTCTGTTCTCTAAGCCCCCAAAACACAAAACCCAAGACATTAAAATATGTGAAGACCATAATACCCTTCTCTCTCGCTTTCTTTTTTTATTAAAATATGATGAGCATTATTTTATTATTTTTGTTTTCTCTCTCTCTTTATCATGAAGTATTGAGATGATAGTTGAAATGATTGATGAGGATTATTTTATTATTTTTGTTTTTTTTATTATTTTGGTTGTTTGTATTGGGAGATTGTTAAAGTTACGTGTTAATTATTAAGGTTACGAATTAATTGTTAATGTTACGGGTCAATTGTTAAGGTTATGAATCCTCTCTCTCTCTCTCTCTCTCTTTCTTTCTTTTTTATTAAAATATGATGAGGATTATTTTATTATTTTTATTTTCTCTCTCTCTTTATCATGATGTACTAAGATGATAGTTGAAATGATTGATGAAGATTATTTTATTATTTTTGTTTTTTATTATTTTGGTTGTTTGTATTGGGAGATTGTTAAAGTTATGGGTTAATTGTTATGATTACGAATTAATTGTTAATGTTACGGGTCAATTGTTAAGGTTATGAATCCTCTCTCTCTCTCTCTCTCTCTCTCTCTCTCTTTATCATGATGTTTCTTTGATGATATTGAAATGATTAAAGAGAATTATTATTTTATTATTTTTGTTTTTTATTCTTTTTGTATTTTTAGAATATTCGTTGTTAAGGATAATGGTTGGTTGTAAATGTTATGAATTGATTGTTAAGGTTACGAATTGGTTGTTAAGGTAACGGGTTTATTGTTAAGGTTATGGGTTTGTTGTGTAGGTTACAGATTTGTTGTTAAGGTTACGGGCTTAATTGTTAAGGTTACGGGTTTAATTGTTAAGGTTACGGGTTTAATTGTTAAGGTTACGTGTTTAATTGTTAAGGTTAAGAGTTTAATTGTTACGGTTACGGTTTATTAATTATTAATGTTATGGTTTAATTGTTAATATTACGGGTTTAATTGTTAAGGTTACAGGTTTAATTAAGGTTATGAGTTTAATTGTTACGGTTACGGGTTTAATTGTTAAGGTTACGAGTTTAATTGTTAAGGTTATGGATCCCTTCTCTCTCTCCCTCGTAACCTTAACAATTAAACCCGTAACCTTAACAATTAAACCGTAACATTAATAATTAAACTGGTAACCTTAACAATTACACCCATAACCTTAATAATTAAACCGTAACCTTAACAATTAAACCGTAACCTTAACAATTAAACCCGTAACCTTAACAATTAAAACCGTAACCTTAATAATTAAACCCGTAACCTTAACAATTAAAACCGCAACCTTAACAATTAAACCCGTAACCTTAACAATTAAACCCATAACCTTAACAATTAAACCGTAATCTTAACAATTAATAAACCGTAACCTTAACAATTAAATCCGTAACCTTAACAATTAAACACGTAATCTTAACAATTAAACCCGTAACCTTAACAATTAAGCCCGTAACCTTAGCAACAAATTCGTAACCTACACAACAAACCCATAACCTTAACAACAAACCCTTAATCTTAACAACCAACCCGTAACTTTAACAATCAATGCATAACCTTTACAACCAACCATTATCCTTAACAACGAATATTCTAAAAATAAAAAAAAATAAAAAATAAAAATAATAAAATAACAATCCTCTTTATCATTTCAATATCATCAAAGAAACATCATGATAGAGAGAGAGAGAGAGAGAGAGAGAGAGAGAGAGAGAATTCATAACCTTAACAATTGACCCGTAATATTAACAATTAATTCGTAACCTTAACAATTAACCCGTAACTTTAACAATCTTCCAATACAAACAACAAAAATAATAAAAAATAAAAATAATAAAATAATCCCCATCAATCATTTCAACTATCATCTTAGTACATCATGATAAAGAGAGAGAGAAAACAAAAATAATAAAATAATCCTCATCATATTTTAATAAAAAAAGAAGGAGAGAGAGAGAGAGGATTCATAACCTTAACAATTGACCCGTAACATTAACAATTAATTCGTAACCTTAACAATTAACCCGTAACTTTAACAATCTCCCAATACAAACAACCTAAATAATAAAAAACGAAAATAATAAAATAATCCTTATCAATCATTTTAACTATCATCTTAATACTTCATGATAAAGAGAGAGAGAAAACAAAAATAATAAAATAATCCTCATCATATTTTAATAAAAAAAGAAAGAAAGAGAGAAGGGTATTATGGTCTTCACATATTTTAATGTCTTGGGTTTTGTGTTTTGGGGTTCATAGAACAGAATCTTTATTTTTGGGGGTAAAACACCCGTTGACAAAGTCTTAGGGGTGGGAAGCACGTTTCCTTAGCTTTTGGGGGCTGGAAGCATTTTTTCCTATTTTTTATAAATTATTTTAATTATTACTATAGTTTTCATAATTAACCCAAAATTATTATATTAAATTAAAGTGTGGAGGTCAGTTCAAAAAAAAAAAAAAAAAAAAAAAAAAGGGGGGGGAAAAAAAAAGCGTGGAGGAAAAACAAAAGAAAACTGAATTAATGTCAAAACGTAAAGCGGGGCAATAACATTCACGCGAAGCCATTGTGACTCAGGCGAGCAACGAGAAAAAAAAACCCATTATCTACACTCCTAATCGAATTTCTCCAAACCGTATTAAATTCTCTGAAGCATCAAACTTTCCCAATCGAAGATCTCGAGATCTGGAAATTAGGTTAGATGTCACCTCGTATTATCGTGATTTCACGAGCTAAAATAATCGAGATCCACCTCTAAATTCGTGCGTCCTTTTCTCTTTGCAGGCTTAGATCTCTGAACCCCAAGTTTTTTTAGGTAAGGCCTGATCTGCTGTTCGATTGATGTCGTGCGATTCGCTAGGGTTTGGTCGCTTTCTGTGTTCTTTAAGTTTATTTCGATTTGTGATTTTTTTTAAAAAAAATTGAGGTTTTCTAGGGTTATTATCTGAGAAAATGGATGGAAAGAAGAAGAAGAACAAGAAGAAGAGGGGAAATAGCCAGAACAAGCTTGCGGATGATGTTCCGGCTAGTTCGCAGGAAGTTGCTAATGCGGAGCAGGACAATGGATCTGCTCCTCAATTGAATCACATCCCGAAGGTTCCGAGCACGACCGATATTCAGAGTGTTGGAGTTTCGGAATCGGATATCGAGCTGGACAGGCACAAAGTTTATGAAGAGAGATTTGTAAGTATATAATCTATGTGCATACTATTAGCTAGTTGATTTTTAACTCCAAGGTACTATGTTCATTTTATAGACTAAGTGAAACACACAATTGTATTCATGTGAAACAATGCTGGGTCTTTGCAATTGTCAAATGTCCGAATGTCTTATCGCTTATTTTAGGCATTTGAAGACTAACTTGTTTAATTCTTTCTTGAGTGCATATTGTTGCTTAACTATGGCCGCATATAACCTTGTAGTCATAATGAAAATAATTTTTTTGTTGGTTTCTATGTATGTGGACCTGCATTTTAAAAATGTTTGACACAATTCCATGGCTGGCTGGAAAATTGATATTGATCATCTGAGAAATGAGATGGATGCATGGGATCTCAAACAAAACTTTAGCACGGGTATATATCGCTTGACGTAGGTTCCTTAAGTATTGTTGTTGTGTCCAAATTATATCAAATGCATAACAGTTAACGAGTTTTTAAGCAATAAATGAAATCTATCTGAATAGGAAAGGCTGATTTACAATATTCATTTTAAAATTATACGTTCTTGTAATCCCTTTTTTTTTCTACTGTGTTTTATAAATTTCTTTTCAAATGTTCATCATACAGGTCAAACTGCAAGTAGAAGTTAGACAACTGCACGAGGAGAAGAACCAGTGGCTTGAGAAAGGGGTACTTCTGCAGTTTGCAGCTTTATACTTTTGTTATAACAATTTTACATTTACTCACATAAATGAAGGCCTGAATTGAAAACAAAATAATACATTTACACCAATATAAATTATATTGTTGTTGCTTCTTTTCCTTGCACAAATAAATTAATTAATTAATTAAACAGCTCCACCCGAGAAAAAAAGTTTAGAATTTTGAGAGATACTGGTCTCCTCTGATTCTCTCCAGGCACACTGCTAATCTTATTTGGACTGCGGAAATGAGAAAACTCGTCAGTGTTGATGTCACCTCACTACACACAACTGATTCTCTGATATGAAATTTTTACAGGCTAGCTTGGAGGATAAAATCAAACATTTACAAAATGATGTAGACTTCTGCATAGAGAACAAGGTAATTATTCTTGCTTCAATGTTGTATGACTTTTTAGGCTTATAAATTTAAGCTTGTTATGCGCATATTTCTAAAGGTGCATGAATAGCTACCAAAATTGTTTTCTAGAATCTATTACTCACTCTAGCATTTACAGGTTGATTTAGAGGAGAAACTTAAAAATCTACGGAGAGGAAATGATTTGTTTATGGAAAAAGAGGTACTTCTCATTGTGCTCTTTAATTCTTTTTCCGATACGTTGAAGTAAGAAGCGTTGTTGTGGGATCTGTGTAGTACAAATTGTGCCTTATTTTCACACACATAGATTCATGCTGCCCCATTAGAAGTATGCTGAATGATTTAACATACATTGTTTTCGTACTTCCATTATGTTTATTCATTTGCTAATTCGGACTTCTAATTTAAGTAGCAAAAACAAAGATACGACGGCAGTCGTGGTCACAGATTTTGGAAAGCAAGGATTTTTGAAGTATCTACTTCAGCAATTTAAATTTACAAAAGTTAATATTCGAGACATTTAAAGGTATTTTCTTCTATAGTTGCACTAAATATCTGAGTGACAAATAGTGGATAACTCAATGATTTACAGGCTAGTTTGGCGAGCAAAGGGGAGTAACTGATTCATGGCACAAAAGCTAATATTCTAGGCATTCAATGGTTGACATTTTTCATATGCGTAATATACAAAGGTAGCACGTTAAATAAACTGAGGGTGAGCCTTGGCGCAACAGTAAGGTTGTTTCCTTGTGACCTGGAGGTCATGGGTTCAAATCCCGGAAACAGTCTCTTCACATTCGGGGGGGTAAGGCTGCGTATATCTGACCTTCCCCAGAGCCCACAATGGTGGGAGCCTCATGCACTGGGCTACCCTTTAGCATGTTAAATAAACTGGAATAATAAAGTGCATTGAGTTTTAATCATTACAAGCTTTGCTTGACGGGTAATGATTAAAGATGGACCTGACTCAAACATTCATTGCATCTGGGTTTGCTAGGATATCTGCACTTTTTCTTTTTGCTAAAATTTCCAATTATTGGCATATTTTTAACAGGCAGTTAAATTTTCTAAAGTTTTATGCTTTGTAGAGAAGTATATTTGCTGCAAAATGTTGCTTATAAATTGATCTGCAGGTCATCTTAGGTGGAAAGAGTTAGGAGCATGTAGAAGTATCAAGATTCATGGATCTTAAGGGAGGTAAGTAAATGGATGTCTGTTGCAATATGTTTCTGTTTCCTGTTTATGTTATTTTATTATGCTTGCGTGCTTAGTTGGTTCATGGGTGGAATGCAGATTTTATCCTTTCTGCATCAATTACCAACTGGATGAAAACAAAGTTAACTGGTTATGGTGTATCATTATGCTCAAGTTGTCAATTGATCTGTATAGTACCTCACCATCAACTATGAACTCCATCAACTTTGACTAGATCTAAAGCAGTCAATCGCCTAAACAGTTTTTAGTCAAATAATTGCTTCCATAAGATTATTGGTTGGCATTGGATGAGGGATCAATCTCATAAATGGGTGAGATCATCTCGAGCTGACTTGTGTGTGAAATTGGAACTCGAGAAAGGGGAAGTGTCGGCAATGGAATCGTAATTCGTATAGCTATTAGTTTATTCACATGGATAAACTAGTCATGATCTGACCAGGCTAAATCTGATGGAAGTTAAATATTGCCTCTCATCTTAAAACAAATGTAAACAAAGGTTTACGTGGAGTGTCAGTGTTTGACATGTGTGAGAAAAAGGTAAGGGAGTCATAAAGAAATGTTCATGCTTTCCTGTTGTCCAGGCATATTCTTAGAAAAATGCAAGGTGATTGGAGAGGAGCAATCCCAATATCTCTTGTTGCTATAGAAAGTTTCCAGCAGTTGAGATAGAACCTTTGTTATCAAAGCATTGGCGCATCATGGATTCCATCTATGGATCAGATGGACTTGTAATGCAGACGATGTGTTTACTGACTATAAATTGCACACTCATGAACCATGTGTGGCCATGCCTGCACACAGACACATATCATTGATATCGAAATTTTTAGTAAGACTAATTGATATTCCTCCATGAAGACTTGATTGCTGTTACTGGTGATGAAGAATTTATGGGATCTATAGTGAGATGGGTTACAAAAATAATGATAACAAAGTATGATTATGATGTGGATCAGGGATTTTGAGGTGACCAACAATGAGATAGGTTGGGTGTATGTTTCCTCTTTACTTGTGATGGTTGATTAGGTTGGTAGATAACTGTATTGAGGAAGTGTTAGATAGAAAGTCAGAGTAGGTTTGATGTGAGGCTATGGAGTGTGCGATGAGTGATAAGACTTGGGAAGCATGCAATTTGTTAAAAAGATTATTATGTCCCAATACACAGGAATAATCTGTTTACCCTATTACAGTGCCTAGTCCTTATGCTTCAAATGTTATAACTTATTTTACTGGACAATCCTTGTGTATGGAAAAATATTATCCATTTTAGTTTCTCTTGTTCCTCGAACTACAATGTTCTTTTACTGATAATATTAGATGTTTTGTTTAATTCCTTATATTGGGTAGATCAAGTTGATTTTGTTGTTATTTCAGACTCTTCTCAATGAAATAGCTTCTAGAGTGGAGGAAGTTAACATAAGGCTGCAAGAGGAGGTACTCAATTCCACTGTCTTTAGCTTTCAATTCCAGCTTGTTTTCAGTTTAACTTCTTTTACTTCGCATCTTATTTATTCTTATGTATAGACAGGCTACACTTGATGTTAGATACAGACTTCTTGTAGGTTTCTCTCATACATTACATGCCTTAAACAAGAGAAGAGGAAAGTGAATTTGTCCACTACCAGTTGAGAAAAATTCTGTGATGTTTAAAATTTTGTTACAACAGAACTGAAGATTAATAGTCTCTTTTTAAGTAGAGTTCAAAGCTATATTGTCATCAATGGAGTTCAGTATCTGCTAACTGAATCCGTCATGAGAAGGTTAGCTAGAAGTACAGTTATGGACATGGCTACATGCCAGAAATATAGTTCAAAACGCATTTTTATAGGTTAACTAGTTCCAGCTCAAGTGATTTGTTTCTTACCGAGTTATTATCCAGCTGTACGAAGTAACTTTCCAAGGAAGGAACGATCTTTCATCTTCTAAGTTTCACGATATGGCATGACTATCATGACAAAACTAGGCCAGACATATTTTTTTCTTGGCTTAAGTGAGAAGTTCTATCTCAGTTTATCCTCGCTGCTTATTTTTCTTTTATATTTCCTCTTCGTAATAGTTGTAAGTTGCAGTGAGTTATTATTTTGCTGTGGCACATACCATGCAGTAGCAGTATTGCCTCTGTTGATGATGCATTTATCATGTTTGTATGTGGCATATAGTTACTTATGTTTCTGATATGACTATTAAATTACAAAGCTTGGCAGGTAAAGGAGCTGAAAGAATCTAGGGATGGTCTCCTTCAAGAAAATGTACAGTTGAGGGAAAGCATAACTGTAATGGAATCACGGTTACAGCGCATCGAAACAGAGGCTTTTCTTTCTAGAAACTCTCCTGTGATGATAGCAGAGGTTATAGTTCTTCTTTGTTAGCCTTTCAGCATCAGAACCTTAATTGAGTTATGTTATATTATATTAATTTTGTGTGGAGTGTGGACTTCGTCTGATCCTTGCTTGAACAAATTTTAAATCGTTTAATATTATTTACTCTCACTGGATAAATTGGTTTCCACAGTGGTTCTTATTTATATTCTATGGGAAAAAACTGTGATACAGTTGGGTTGAACAACTGTTGGTTGGTGGATATTTTGTGATATCAGGAGATGGAACCTGTATAATCAGTGAACTCATGTATCCATTAGCTGTATATAGACACACTGAAGATTGGGGATACTTTGTAATATAAGGATACAATTTTTCTGCATTTTTCATGATCATGTCATATTCCAGACCTTCTGAGATGACATATTGGCGCAGTGTAGTAGTTATTTATTAGAGAAAACATAGAGTTTAATCAATTTGTATTTGTAGGTTAATTAAATTGACTTACCTTTGTGGAATTCTGAGTCAACCCAGTTTTAATTTTCTTTTTGCTGTGAACTGCTTTGGATCTTTAATGCCGTTCGTTGGTCTTCTCAACTTTAGAGAAATACCTCCTGCTTGCTTGGGGTATAAGGTTTAAATGTGCAATTTCTTAAAAATTATTAAACAGCTCAGCAAATGACTTTCTTTTTTGGTTCATTTTTCTTATCTAGCTTTCTGATTTGTGGAACAAAGCCAAAGAAAAGTACTTTCTGTATGCTGGTTGGTTGAAGATCTTCATAGATAAGAGTTTTTCACTAAAATTTTTTGTTGGTAAAAGGATTCATAATTTTTCACCAGTTGTGTTTGTGGAAGGTGTAGGCTGGTATGAATTTCTTATTCACTTTTGACTGAGATTGAACACTATAAATCACATTTTCTTAATACCTTTCAGTGTTGAGTCCTGTAAAAAAATTTAAAATTATGCTTAACTATGATGAAATATTTCTGCAGACACTCCTAGACAAAATTCCAGAATGTCAGCCTGAAGAAGCTCCTCCCCCACTGCTGGAAAAGCGAGAACCTGAAAATAACGAGCTTATAGAAAAGGTAACAATTTCAAATCCCAGGGAAATTTTCTCTTTCTTACCATTGATGAATTATATGCCGCTTTCTTCTTGAGATGTATTACATCTTTTTCGCTAGGCGTGGGCGTGGGCGTGGGCCGGGCTTGCCTCTTTGATCCCAGCTCCGGGACCGGACCTAGCCTGCCTACGACCCGCTTAGGTTCGGGCTGGATCAGAATTTGCCCACAGCCTATGGGTCTTTGGTCGGCCCATGGATTTTTTTCTTTATTGTTTTCCTTTTTGTACTATATTAAACTTGTATATATCTTTGTAAAACTATATTTAATTTTTTTCCTATTTCGAACTCTTTATTTAAAATGAAAAATGTATATATATATATACACACACACACATACATATACACACATACATATACATATACATACATACATACACATACATATATATAGGCCCTAGCAGTTCCGGCCCAGCAGGCCAACATGATTCTGAAAGGAGTTATACTCCGTCTCATCCCAATTCATGCGAACAATTACGAAGAAACATAATTCTTCTAGCCCATCTCAGGCCTTTTATAAAGGCATTAATGATTTTATTACACAAGAAAATTCTCCTGAGCCTTTTAACTCTATAGTTAAAAGAGAAGTTGAATGGACAGAAAAACCCATTTCAGATGTGGTTCTGTATCTAGAACCAGAGGACATTTCTTTAATGAATGATCCTAATAAATTGAGGCAAAAATATCTGCATGAAACATTCTATACAACACGGTCTCTGAAATCAGAGCCTGGATGAAAACTCTTCTTATACAGAAGAGAATGGAAATTAACCACTTTTGGGCCAGCGAGAATCATAATGTCCTGTCAAGTTTTAGTAAGTGCATTATTCAAGAAGTTATACTTCCACGAAATTGGGCCATAAACCCAAATTAAGAATTACCATTGGTGAAAGCCCAAAATTCTAAGGATATATATTCCTTTAATTATTGGGATTATCAACAGGCTTTTCATGAGGTGTTCGTATATCAGAACCCAAAAAAACAAACATACTTGGTTGATTAAACTTTGTCCAGAAGCCCTTCAAAAGGGTATTCCTGCTTGGTTCTATAAATGGTGGGAAACTTATGGAATTGAAATAAGTATTATTCCTGAACCACTGATGAAGTTATACTCATCTTGGGTTGATTCACACCCTATTCTTGCAAAAATGGATGATAGCCAACTTATAGATGGCATGTGTCTTATTTACTTCTTTTCTGAAGTAGAGATCCATTGGATCTGGAATTGATCGTTTGAATGCAGTTGGACTCCCTCTCATATACCAGTCCTCAAAAGAAAATACTATTGTCGGTGGAGTGGCATGTGCCTTGACACCAAAGTTAAACAATTGAAAGAAATAATTCAGAAAAATACTTCTGTTCTAGAGTCTCATATGACTCAGGAAATTCAAAAAGAAAATGCTATGCTAAAAATAGCAAAAAAGATGAGGAGGAAATATCCTCATCATTTTAACACTAGTGACACTAGTGACACTAGTGACATAGTTCTGAATCAGAAATCCAACAGAAGTGTTTGGAATATTTTAAAAAACAATTTGCAGAAGCTTTTGACACTAGTGATACCAGAAGCAGTCATTCTATGGAAGAAGATACACCAATCCAAGACGCCCAAGATCCGGAAGACATCTGGACAGAAATATTTGATAATAAGTTGACAAACCTTAAAGGTAAAGAACCTGCTTCATAAGTAGTATAAAAATCTAGATTGAGCCTCGAGGAGCCTTCTAGAATCCTCTTTCCTAAAAGTTACTTTATAAAGCAGCTTTCTAAAAGCAGCTTTTATAAAGCTACTTTCTAAAAGAAAGAATCTTTACTGTTGATAATGCGCCACTTATTTTGTTTATGCGCCACATCACTTTCACCTTTAGTTATTGCGCCACGACGAAGGGAATCAAAGGCTTTGGAAGTTCTGCGCAACACTTACGATGAAGCCTAAAGGTTGGGAACAGCTTTGTGCGAGAGAATAAAAATTTGTAAGAGAGATAGTAAGGTTGTGAAATATATCCTTTGCAATCTGAGTGTGTTCTGTTGTAAAATGTCTTGGATAATAAAGATTATATTTTGAGTATCAGCTATCTCACTCTGTAAGTCCTCTTTCATTTCTTTGTTTTTGTTTCCGCTTCAAATTGGTAAAATTGGTATCAGAGCCATGTTCAACTACTATATGTATGCTTAAGTTTGATCTTACAGTTTTATCTTTTTGATTGTTTGCTTCTAAGTATGTAGAATTTACATATGTTTTTTTCATTCTCTGTTTAAGAACTTAGTTTGCATGCTTATGGGACGTCATCTAAGTCGCGCAGTGTAAAGCCCGTTGTTGTCGGGATGATTGTTTAGGGTAGTGTAAGTCGTTGACAGACGTGTAAGCTTTCTGCTAGGTTGTTTTATAGAGACTAAAATGGAAAATATAAATTCTGGATCCTTATAGGTTTAAATAATCAAAAGATAAACTTGTAAGAGAAAAATATGACAGACATAGTCGAGAGTAGTTCGGCTCGTAAATCCAGTTATATTGGAATGAAAAAGGTTAAAAATGTTCAGTTAACTGAATATGAAACTGATATTGAATCACTTAATAAGTGGACTATACCCGATGTTTCTAATAGAGACATCTATAAAATTGGTTTTTTAGATTATAAATCTTTAATTAATATTAAGACCCTAGAACGAACTACTACAGTCGATAGGGATGAACAGACAATTCAATTGTTAGGAATTGCAGATGTAAATCCATATTTGGATAAGTATAAGTACCTACATATAGGTTTAATACAAATTGCCTTTAGGCCTTTGACTTTATCGAGTCTGAATGCATCTTTATTAGTCTGCCTTAGAGACTCCAGATGCTTAAATTGGACCCAATCTTTAATGGGTATAAAGAAAACCAGTCTTTGTAATAGATCAGTATATTTTAATGTTTATCCAAATTTAAGTCTATCTTTGACTGATTCGAATATACTCGAATCAATAAGTCTTAATATAAAGACTCATGGTTATAATTTTATACCTGGATCCGAAACTATTACTATTATTTACAGGATCCATTACAAAGTATTAAATACTTTAGCTTCTAAGGCTAAAATTCATTCGAAACCAGGTAAAATTGTCCTGGTAGAAACGAATGTTCTATCTTCCAATATTGCTGTTAATAAACAGATAAAATAGGATGAAATAAACTTCCCAGACAATTGGGTTATACCCAACGCTGTACAACCTTTATCTATTGTCATTCAAGATATTGATCAAATTGTACAGACTACAGATGGAGAAGTCGAAATAACATTTAATCCATCCAGAACAATCAGAATATCTGATGCGGCTACATTAGCCAGAAACTCTTTATCAAGATCTGGATCTTATAGAACCAGTTCTGTTCAAGGAGTAAATATCTCCGAAAATAATATTCCTGGCGGAAGTTTATCCTTATGTCTAGAACAATTTTATAGATGTTTATCTAATGCGAAAATAATTGTATATCTAGAACAATCAGAATTTTGTAGAAAATGATGCTTATCTCCTAGAACGAAAGCTCATCTCCGTATTAGGAGGAGAAAATTTATCCTTATATAAAGTATGAGGAATATTATTTTCAGAGATATTTATTCCTTGAACAGAACTGGTTCTATAAGATCCAAATCTTGATAAAGAGTTTCTAGCTGATGTAGCCGCATCAGATATTCTGATTGTTCTAGATGGATTAAATGTTATTTCGACTTCTCCATCTGTAGTCTGTACAATTTGATCAATATCTTGATTGACAATATGTAAAGGTTGTACAGCGTTGGGTATAACCCAATTGTCTGAGAAGTTTATTTCATCCTATTTTATCTGTTTATTAACAACAATATTGGAAGATAGAACATTCGTTTCTACCAGGATAATTTTACCTGGTTTCGAATGAATTTTAGCCTTAGAAGCTAAAGTATTTAATACTTTGTAATGGATCCTATAAATAATAGCAATAGTTTCGGATCCAGGTATAAAATTATAACCATGAGTTTTTATATTAAGACATTGATTCAAGTATATTTAGGATCAGTCAAAGATAGACTTAAATTTGGATAAACATTAAAATATACCGATCCATTACAAAGATTGGTTTTCTTTATACCCATTAAAGATTGGGTCCAATTTAAGCATCTGGAGTCTCTAAGGCAGACTAATAAAGATGCATTCAGACTCGATAAAATCAAAGCCTCAAAGGCCTAAAGACAATTTGTATTAAACCTATATGTAGGTACTTATACTTATCCAAATATGGATTTACATCTGCAATTCCTAACAATTAAATTATCTGTTCATCCCTATCGACTGTAGTAGTTCGTTCTAGGGTCTTAATATTAATTAAAAATTTATAATCTTAAAAGCCAATTTTATAGATGTCTCTATTAGGAACATCGGGTATAGTCCACTTATTAAGTGATTCAATATCAGTTTCATATTCAGTTAACTGATCATTTTAACCTTTTTCATTCCAGTATAACTGGATTTACGAGCCGAACTACTCTCGACTATGTCTGTCATATTTTTCTCTTACAAGTTTATCTTTTGATTATTTAAACCTATAAGGATGCAGAATTTATATTTTTCTTTTTATTCTCTATAAAACAACCTAGCAGAAAGCTTACACGTCTGTCAACGACTTACACTACCCTAAACAGCCATTCCGGTAACAACGGGATTTACACTGCGCGACTTAGATGACGTCCCATAAACATGCAAACTAAGTTCTTAAACAAAGAATGAAAAGAACATATATAAATTCTACATACTTAGAAGCAAACAATCAAAAAGATAAACTGTAAGATCAAACTTAAGCAGACATATAATAGTTGAACATGACTCTGATACCAATTTGAAGCGGAAACAAAAACAAAGAAATGAAAGAGGACACTTTTCAAGATATTTTACAACAGAACACACTTAGATTACAGAGGATATATTTCACAACCTTACTATCTCTCTTA